CTCTACTATATATATATATATATATATAGTGAACACGAGATCTAGAGGTCACGGGTTTGATTCCTTGCATTCATGGGCAGATGTGGTGTCCTTGGTAAAGACACTTAACAACACAACTTTCCTCACTCCACCCAGGTATAAAATGGGTACTTGACAGCCGTTGGGGAGGCGGTGGAAGGAGAGGGATGGGCTCTGCCTTCCAATACTTTGTCCTAGACACAGTGGATCAACAACCTACTGTCTCTATGGCCTGAAAAAGGCTATGGGACTACCTTTTTTACATACATGTAGCACCAACATTTTTTACATTCTACATCTTAAAAAAATTTTTTTTTATTATAATATTACTATGTCAATGTATCAAGAGACTTCACATCCTTTACTGTTAGTAATAGTACTGTAGTTAACTTCTAGTACATATCCTTATCATATGACATTTATGTGTTCATCCTTAACAGATCTGCATCAAGGGTTTCAAAACCATTTTTGAGATCACCTGAACAGTGTTTTTCAGTTCAGACAGTTCTCTCCTTGTAGGTAACTGTCCGAACTGAAAAACACTTGTACTGTTCAGTACTGTTCAGGTGATCTCAAAATGGTTTCAAAACCCTCGATGCAGATCTGTTAAGCCATTAGAACCTGGGCTTGAGAGGTCTTGATGGCAGTTCCCTTTTTGCAAAATTCCCCTCGAGTCTGGAATATGTACCTTCGACCAGCTGCTGACGTCACATCAAAGTGACTTAAGCTTTGGGTCGTAGCAACTTCAGACGGTCCAGAGAAATGGACGAAAGCTTGTTGGTAAGCACTTTCCCCCTCGTGTACAGTTATAGCATGCATTTAAGTCTACATGATGTACACATCCTTTCAAGCAATGCTTGAATTTCTCTGAGCAAATGGTTTAGACTCACCTGCAATGGTTCTCGAATGACAGGATGATTGGCCAATCGGAGGTTTTGAATGCACTTTCTGCAATGGCCTCCACAACATCCTGGAGGTGCACAGTTCATAGTTGGTCAGACCACAGCGCAGTTTACGTTCTAAACTAAGAACTAAAATCTTACTTGAGACTTGGCATTATCTTACATGTAGGTAGGAATGACAACTGAGCAGAAGCACTGAGCAGTGCACAGCTCTGTCTTAAACTTATAGCATCCATGAATGGCTATCCTGTCCAGTAAAGTCATTCAAAAAATAACTTAAGCCAAAGGATGGCAATGTTCAGCGCCAAGGACAGATCCACCCTTTCTTTCCTTCCATGCAGCATATACAGTACACAGTTTTGTACCTGCTAGTTATTTACACCAATGTCATGGAGATTCTTTAATGTACAGTATAGCAATTTCACTTTTATCTACCAATTGTGCATCTTATTATATATCATTTGCTCCTCAATGGAGGGACTAAGGTCTAGATATGTATCTTTATGGAGTCCCTACTAACAAGCTACATACATTGTAACTGTAAACCGTAAAGCTTTTGTGGTGGTTTTATGGTTTTGTTTTCGTGGCTTTCGCGGTGGCCAGTCCTCCAACTCTGTCCTGCCACTTGCTACATAATGTACCTCAACACCACAGGGCATCTGCAACAGTACCAGTTACCATGGTGACAGATGTCTGGTCGAGATCACTGACCTTACGTATTTGGAGAAGAAGAAGAAACAGAACAAAAACATGGCCATACACAAACAAACAGATCCACCTGTAGTGTATTAGTCTGAGATTAAAGTTTTTATTTCAAAGAATGATGTAATACTTTTGTAGATTGTTAAGCCACCTTATATGTTGCTGTTATGTTCTTTGTAATAGCCACTGGCTAGTTTACCTGCCCTGGCTGTGAGGGTCAAAGAGCCAAACCGATAAATAAATAAATCCACCTTAAAGAGCACGTCTGTGCACATGGTGTAGCCGTGAGTGATGATGGGTTCTTGTTTTCTAAACAGGTAACGTAAAACCACTGCAAGAGTTTCACGAATAAACAAGAACAATTATGTTTTCCATCAAGAAGGCAAACTGTGGGGTCGTGTGGTGTGACGGCAGAGCGTCCCAGGTTCATACCCTGCCATGTCACCGATCTTGTACCCTTGGGAAAGGCACTTGACACGACTTTCCTGGATGGAGGCCAGGCGAACCCCATGATCTCGCATTAGCCACAAAAGGCAGCAGAATCATCAGCTGGTTGAAGACGGCTGCTTCCAAATGAAAGAAACAAGAAGAAGAACAAACAACCAAAAGTAAATCCACCTTAAAGAGCACGTCTGTGCACATGGTGTAGCCGTGAGTGATGATGGGTTCGTTGTCGTTTCCGTCCCAGCAGTCCAGCTCCACACATCGGCAGCCGGCCAGCAGGGCCTGTCTGTAGATCTCCACGGACGCCTTCCCCGTGAACTGGTGGCCTGATGCAAGAGATAAATTCAAAATGAGAAGTTGCGGGTCTTTCATGCAACTATGTATGGTGCACAGGGCGGCACCCGTCCCTGTTTCTGCAGCCATTGGGCCACTGTTGTAATGTTTGTACACATAGGTACATTGGGCCACACTGTGGTGTCTGTAGATCTTCACGGACACCTTCCCTGTGAACTGGTGGCCTGATGCAAAAGGTAAATGCAAAGTCAGAAGCTAAGGCCCAGAAACAGGGATGGGTGCCACCCTATGCACCACATGCACCTATATATGGTGCATAGGTCAGCACCCATCCCTGTTTCTGTAGCCATTGGGCCACTGTTGTGTGGTCTGTATATAGGGTTTGGTGCGTAACTACATGTAGCTTTGGCTTGGGACGTCTTTTCAGATAGGATGGAAAGCTGGACGCCCTGTGTTTGAGGAGTGCAGGGGTCCTTCCTTCCCAGTGTGAGTGGTTCAAACCTTACAATCTCTTTTCATTATGGAAATTGTGTAATGTCAATCCTTCCTCAAATGTAGCAAATCTCAATAGATAGATAAATAAAAAATGTTCTGTATCTGTAAAGTCTAGTGTCTATAACTGTTTAGGATTTTGATCGGCCATTTCTAATCCTGATGAAGGCAACAGTGAAAATTTGATCCTTGTGTACCTTTGTATTTTGTGTTGGAATAAGGTTCAGAATTGCACATGAGGCCATGTTGATTTGATTATATGGATGACATCCGCGCGCGCATGAATTTTCAGCCGTTTCCAAAAAAAAAGAAGTTTTCAACCATACTGTAAATCGTACAAAACAGATGCAAAATGAGCAAAAATATACCATAAGTTACAAAAAAATTAATAAAAACTATACCAATGTCGTAGAATGCCAAAATCAAACGAAAAAAGACGAAATTGTAAAGAAATGAACTTGAAGACTAGATTATTCGCCAAACCATATTCTGTGCCATTTGCTCAACCCTCATGACCACATAGATTTCATAATAGAAAAGTTAACTTTTTTTTTGCAAATTTTTTTTTTATTCGCACGCGCGCATCAGTTTTGGAGCTCCCGGAGGATGTCATCCATATAATCAAATCAACATGGCCTGATGTGCTATAAACAATGTCCCCACCTGTGAGGTATGTGTTGTGGGAGGAGTTGATGAAGTAGTGGCTCAGGGACTGCGTCATGTCGTCGCTCAGGTCGAACTTGACCGGGTCGACCATGGTGTTCTCATCACTCATCAGATAACGGTACAGCCCGTCCACCGACAGGTGACCTGGCAGGGTCAAGGAGCAAAGGTCAGGGTTTAAAACGGGTATTACCATTAATAATACAATTATTTTGCAGGGCTCAACAAAGTATTTTTTTGCGTCATGTCGTCGCTCAGGTCGAACTTGACCGGGTCCACCATGGTGTTCTCATCACTCATCAGGTAACGGTAGAGCCCGTCCACCGACAGGTGACCTGGCAGGGTCAAGGAGCAAGGGTCAGGGATCAAAAATGGAGAATTCCAAACAATATATTTGGAGGGATAAAAATATTTTTTTTGCGTCATGTCGTCGCTCAGGTCGAACTTGACCGGGTCGACCATGGGTGATTCAAAATCATCACTCATCAGATAACGGTAGAGTCCGTCCACCGACAGGTGACCTGGCAGGGTCAAGGAGCAAAGGTCAGGGTTTAAAACGGATATTAGCATTAATAATACAATTATTTTTCAGGGCTCAACAAAGTATTTTTTTGCGTTATGTCGTCGCTCAGGTCGAACTTGACCAGGTCGACCATGGTGTTCTCGTCACTCATCAGATAACGGTAGAGCCTGTCCACCGACAGGTGACCTGGCAGGGTCAAGGAGCAAAGGTCAGGGGTAAAAAAAAAGATTGCCAGCTCTAAGATTTGTGGTGTGGACTTGTCCAGCGTGGTATTTTACCCAGAAATGTGCCTGATATTCTATGCCTCAATAGGTTAGGGTTAGGATCAGGCAGTATCTGGTGCAGTTGCCTGCACCAGGGCATGTGTGCAGAAAAAAGAATTTCAAGCCCTGCACTGCCATGATTGGGCATCACAATTTCATGTTTCAGGAGATTAATTTTGAATTTGCTGGATAGTAATACTATACTATAGTAATACTATAGTAATAGAATAGTAATACTATACTATACTATTACTAATAGCATATTTTTAGTACTATATGAAGTAGATTTTATCAAATTCTACAACACAGAAATTTGCACAATCATAAATAAAAGGCACATATTTTGATTGTGAACATGCTGACTTAGAAACAGTATTCCACTGACTGGATATAATACAATTAAAGCCCTTTGTATGATTGCATGACACAATATATACAGTGAGAAACAGATGGGTTCGGTTCCTTCGCTCCAGTTGTGACAGGTTACCGTCTAATCTTATGTCAATCGATGTCTTTTGATCTAATCTCAGAATAAAATGCAAATTGATAGGATCCAATGACCCTGCATGAGGCAGGCGCTACCACTGCGCTGCACCGTCGAGTAATGAGATTGAGTGGCACAATCTCATTACGAGGAAGCAAAACATGCAAAATTGAAACCCCGATAACTTTCAATTGGTGAGGGAGAGATTACATCAAGATACAGTGTCTTGAATACTAAGTGCTAATTCCGTGTTGCAAGGATCTGATTTCATTGATTTCCAACCACTCTGCACATCGTAGAGCTCAGTGGCAGGATACAACAGTCAAGTGACTAATAAGCCTTCAACTTGATTGTCATGGTTTGTGAAGCAAAGAGTGACTATAGAATGAATCCATACTTGCCTACTCACAATAGAATAATTATCTACATTATATTGTTTTATCAATTATTCTTATATTCATAGCCTTATACATGGGTTGTCACAATTATGCATATGGGTATATCTTGTTCAAGTCCTTGGGATGAAAGACATTTTTGACATTCATACAGTAACCTAATACTGACATCTCACGTAACCTGTATGCAGATTTGGGCAGGAGGGTTCATGGTGCTTTTTAAACTGTCAATTGTTTTCTTAGGCCACACCAATTTAATTTGTTGGTTCTCGGATTTTGTCAGAAAAAACATGAAGCGACAGGGCGAAAAAAAATAAAAATAAAAACAGGTCTAGGCATCCTATTATAGGCTTAAATGCTACAAAATGAGCCATGAAGTCAACACAAAAGGCTGGGTTAAAATTTAAACATTGAATTTTGAACTTTTAATCAAATCACTGCAATGATAGATGGGAAAACTGTAACAAGTAGGAAGAAAAGGACTTTCCTCAACTGTTGGGGGCAAAATATGAGCATTTTTCAGTTGATTCAGGACCAGAATCAAATTTATTTTTTTTGCAAATCAGAAAAAAACGAAGAGGCGAATCCGAGAACCAACAAATTAAATTGGTGTGGCCTAACCTGTATGCAGATTTGGGCAGGAAGGTTCATGATGCTTTTTAAACTGTCAATTGTTTTCTTATTAAGAATCATTTTGAGTCCTATATGATGGGGGTACTTCTTTTATAAAAAGATATTTGCTCTCAACGAACAATCTTCCTTATTCCAGCCATCACGGATTCACAAGTGACTTTTGTTACCATATATACATTATGTATCTGGGACAAATGCAAGAAATAACCGATTGAAAGTCCCTACTAAAGTATAGTACCTAGAACTAAAATGACCCAAAGTACATTAGACCTAAATACCTTGTCAAAGCATAACCAGGTTGAATGCACCACAGCCTTGCTAGTGGCAATCTACATTTTAAGTTCTGCATACCATCTAGTATTTGGATCAGGAAGGGAGTACATGTTGTAGCTTTAATGGAATGACATATTTCGAGCACTGGCTTTCAGAGAAATAGTCTGAAAAGAATCCCATACTTTCCATTCAAATTAAAACCAAAATTGTGTTGTTAAGATCATACTATTAGGCTTAACTCTTTAGGCTTAACTGTGAGAAATTAAAACTGGAAAATCTTTAACAGAAAAAACTTAGAATTTCTTTAATTCTAGATTTCTTGCTAAATTTTAACACCTGCAATATTTCACTGAAAAAAACATATATAAAAAAAGTTTCTCCAAGTCATATTCACATAAAAAAGGTAGGACGTTAAAAAAAATGTACCGTTCAAATGCACATAAATCAATGCAATAAAAATACTGTGCTGATGACAGCCACTCGACAGAGTAAGGCGAGTCTTGAAATGAAAACACTAGGGCGTGCCCTGACTACATATCGGCTTCTCTGTCCAGTCATTTATTCACTGTGACACTCACTTGGATTGATCTGAATATGGCCAGATAACTGACATAATGATGTCAATAACACTCTGGAGGGCAGGCGAGGGGCAGTAAACTCATTAGTATTACTTAGGCCACACCATTTTAATTTCTTGGTTAACGGATTCGCCGCTTCATTTTTTTCTGATTTACAAATAAAAATAAAAATCCAGAATCAACTGCAAAATGCTTATATTTTTTGCCCTGAACAGTTGAAAACAGACGTTTTCATCCTAGTTGTTACAGTTATTCCATCTTTCAATGCAATGGTATCATTAAAAGTTCAAAATTCATTGTTTAAATATTGAACCAGCCTGGTGTGTTGACTTCATGGCTCCTATCGTACCATTTTGGGCCATAATAGGATGCCTAGGCTTGTTTTTATTTTTATTTTTTTTCGCCCGCCCGCTCTATTATTTTTCTAGAAAAATCCGTTAACCAAGAAATTAAATTGGTGTGGCCTTATGGCAAGGTTCCTAGCAACTAAGCATATCATTTGTAACCTATTTCAGCATGCTTGAGGATGGTGTTGGAGGTTGATAGCCATTAAAATATAATTTCCAGAATCTGAGGTTTAAGAAAATCTTGCACAGGGCAGTAAACTCATTAGTATTACTTATGGCAAGGTTCCTAGCAACTAAGCATATCATTTGTGACCTACTTCAGCATGCTTGAGGATGGTGTTGGAGGTTGATAGCCATTGAATATAATTTCCAGAATCTGAGGTTTAAGAAAATCTTGCACAGGGCAGTAAACTCATTAGTATTACTTATGGTGAGGTTCCTAACAACTATTAAATTTTAGTAAGCATATGATTTGTATCCTGTTTGGGATCAGCACACTTGAGGTGTTGGAGGTTGATCGCCATTAAAATATAATTTCCACAACCTGAGGTTTAAGAAAAGCTTGTTACATACAAATGTTATTTTTCTAAATTTATTAATTGATTGTGCAGCTAGCAAAAGACTAAGGGCTAGCTTTTGTCTGATTTTGGTGGAAAGAGGGATCTAGAAAGGTAATATTTGAAAGCACAATAATGCAAAATGTTTAATGCTTAAAATGGTCTAGCCTAACTCCTGCTCTGTTTATTCTTACTCTCCAACTCTGTCGCCCCACTAGCTACCTAATGTGATCCAACACCACAGGGTATCTTTTTTATGGGTTCACCACAAAGTGGTGAAACCATATTGCTTTTTCTCATGATTCTCCTCCTTCTTCTTCTCCTCCTGCCATTTCTTTAAATGGATTCAGCTTCTTCATTTGGGGGCCTAAGGACCTGAAATTTGGTATGGAGGTACAGTAGGCAAATACCCCCAGGCGTTTTTTTTAATTTTTGTGATACAGGCTTTTAGAATGGTTTTATTTGAGTTTTTTGGCTGTGTTATAGCAAATGTATTACTGAGTTAGTGTGCAGTGTTACCAGATTTGGGCATGAGTCATCACAATGGAATGCAGGGCATCAACCAATAGGCATGCAGCTTTCCTCTATTCTCCTTGCTGATTGGCTGTTGGAATTTAACAGGCTTAACTTAATTAATACCTGCACAGAGCCATTCCATACTGACAGTATGTCTGTATTCAAGTGTTTTGGTAGGTATTTTAAGCTTTCCTGCTCCAGCATTGGAATGCGGGGCATGAACGATTCTTTTTTTCTTGAAAATCAACAGTTTGCATTATGCAATTAAAAATCCTAACCAATAATGTAGGGAATAGCTATCCAACTGTTGTAGTCTTAGTTGTATGTTACTTCATACTATAGTTATATCAATGTAAAGCATTGTTTTCCCTTGTGTTTCTCATTCTTTCCCTGCCATGTCGTAAAATGTGGTGAAGCCATTGCTGTATTTGCTCCAAAGCAAATGTCGGCCTTTCTAGTTTTTTTTTTAAATCCTTTATTTCTACATAACAAAGTATATACAATAGTTGTGCAAATATAACAGTCAGGTAAATAGAAGCCTTGTTGGCATGTTCTAACACTGTCATTTCTGTGCATAACTTGTTTCTTACAAAGGGAGATTAAAAAAAGACTAACTTAGGGATATATTACTATATTATAGAGAAGTGACCACACCTTCATAAGAACACAAACAAAAGCATATAGACATGTTCGTAACACAAACTTCAACGTTCTGTAAATAACTTGGGTTGAGATAAAAGCTCTCTCTCCACAACTATTAAAATAAAGATTGAGGCACTGTGAAACCACAGGGTATCTGCTGCCACTCAAGTTACTATAGTGACAGCAGTGTGGTCCAGGTCATTGACCTTATGTGTTTGACTGCAAAGGTAAACGTAAGGAAAACACACACTGCTAGCATACCTTTGTTTGCATACGACTTGTTTGGTTCATATCTGCTGATGATGTCGAGGGCCTTCTTGTTGTCGGCGTAAGGGTAGAGAATTTCGTTGAGTCGAGGGTCGCGCTGACCCTTGTTCAGAAAATCAACAACTTGTTCCATGGTGAGGTATGGCTTCTTGGTACCCCTGAATAACAACATGAAAATTTATCAATTTAAGTGTACTTTGATTCTCAGATTATTTCAGAAAAAATATGAAGCGACAGTGAAAAAAAAGGGAATATTAAAAACAGATCTACCAGTAGACATTCTATGATAGCCTGAAATGCTATGATAGGAGCCATGTAATCAACATACCAGGCTTGTTTGTAGTTCACACACTGAATTTCAATCTTTTATTCAAACCAATGCACAGATAGACGGAAAACTGTTACAACTCTGAAGAGAAGGGACTTCCTTCAATTCATGTTGGGGCCAAAATATGAGCATTTCAGAGTTGATTCAGAGGCTGAATTTTTTTTCTAAATCAGGAAAAAATTAAGCAGGCAAGAAATAGAATTGGTGTGGCCTTATTATACTAAAAAGGCAACACTTGCAAAGCAAATGCATAATGTTTACTACCTTCATATGGTCTAGCCTAACAAACTTCTGTTCTGTTATTCTTACTCAAACACATTAATATATATAAAAAGCCCTCCAATATCACCCTCCTGCCACTTGCTAATGTAACCCAACACCTCAGGGTGTCTGCTACAGCACGGGTTCATATCTACTTGGTTTGAAATTCAGTATCACGGCTAACTCAACGTGACATGACGAGATTCATTACATAGATGGAGATTCTGAAGCTTTAATCTGCTTAGGTCTCCTAAGGCCACACCAATTTAATTTGTTGGTTCTCGGATTTTTTCAGAAAAAATAAGAAGCGACAGGGCGAAAAAAATAAAAATAAAAACAGGTCTAGGCATCCTATTATAGGCTTAAATGCTATGGAATGAGCCATGAAGTCAACACAAAAGGCTGGGTTAAAATTTAAACATTGAATTTTGAACTTTTAATCAAACCACTGCAATGATAGATGGGAAAACTGTAACAACTAGGAAGAAAAGGACTTTCCTCAACTGTTGGGGGCAAAACATGAGCATTTTTCAGTTGATTCAGATTTTTTTGCAAATCAGAAAAAAACGAAGAGGCGAATCCGAGAACCAACAAATTAAATTGGTGTGGCCTTAAGATGGAGATTCTGAAGCTTTAATCTGCTTAGGTCTCCTGAGCAACCTTAGTCTGTGGAGGGAATGTGTTAATTTCCTCAAATATGTTGAATCCCTTTGCCACAACCAAACAGAGTACGTGCATCATCATTAGACAGCTTTAAATGACTCTTACAGTTAGACATGCAAAAATTAGGTGCAACACTTCGTTAAGTGTAATATAATAGCTACTGCCGTCCTACAAGCTGGTTTGTTATGCTGAAGGGCGGTTATATCGGCTATACAGATCTGATACAGAAACACTGGTGTGTTATGCCGAAGGGCAGTTATACTGGCTATACAGATACAGATACAGAAGCTGGTGTGTTACGCCGAAGGGCAGTTATAACGGCTATAGAGATACAGAGGCAACACTCACACTTCCGCAAACACCTTGTCCAGCTCTGGTCGAGGGCAAACCTTCCTCACAATTGTGACAAAGTCCTCAAAGAAGAACTTTTCCACGTTGATAATGTCATTCTGGAAAAGAGAGGGAACATGGCTAAACAAAAAAGGATGTATATTAAGCACTTCTATCNCAACAAACAAAAGCATATAGACATGTTCGTAACACAAACTTCAATGTTCTGTAAATAACTTGGGTTGAGATGAAAGCTCTCTCTCCACAACTATTAAAATAAAGATTGAGGCACTGTGAAACCACAGGGAATCTGCTGCCACTCAAGTTACTATAGTGACAGCAGTGTGGTCCAGGTCATTGACCTTATGTGTTTGACTGCAAAGGTAAACGTAAGGAAAACACACACTGCTAGCATACCTTTGTTTGCATACGACTTGTTTGGTTCATATCTGCTGATGATGTCGAGGGCCTTCTTGTTGTCAGCGTAAGGGTAGAGAATTTCGTTGAGTCGAGGGTCGCGCTGGCCCTTGTTCAGAAAATCAACAACTTGTTCCATGGTGAGGTATGGCTTCTTGGTACCCCTGAATAACAACATGAAAATTTATCAATTTAAGTGTACTTTGATTCTCAGATTATTTCAGAAGGGAATATTAAAAACAGATCTACCAGTAGGCATTCTATGATAGCCTGAAATGCTATGATAGGAGCCATGTAGTCAACATACCAGGCTTGTTTGTAGTTCAAACACTGAATTTCAATCTTTTAATCAAACCAATGCACCCTGCCTACCTGCCTAAATGCACAGATAGATGGAAAACTGTTACAACTCTGAAGAGAAGGGACTTCCTTCAACTGTTGGGGCCAAAATATGAGCATTTCAGAGTTGATTCAGAGGCTAAAATTTTTTTTTTCTAAATCAGGAAAAAATTACGCGGAAAAGAAATTGAATTGGTATGGCCTTATTATACTAAAAAGGCAACACTACCTTCATATGGTCTAGCCTAACAAACTTCTGTTCTGTTATTCTTACTCAAACACATTAATATATATAAAAAGCCCTCCAATATCACCCTCCTGCCACTTGCTAATGTAACCCAACACCTCAGGGTGTCTGCTACAGCACGGGTTCATATCTACTTGGTTTGAAATTCAGTACCACGGCTAACTCAACGTGACATGACGAGATTCATTACATTAAGATGGAGATTCTGAAGCTTTAATCTGCTTAGGTCTCCTAAGCAACCTTAGTCTGTGGAGGGAATGTGTTAATTTCCTCAAATATGTTGAATCCCTTTGCCACAACCAAACAGAGTATGTGCATCATCATTAGACAGCTTTAAATGACTCTTACAGTTAGACATGCAAAAATTAGGTGCAACAGTTCATTCAGTGTAATATAATAGCTACTGTCGTGCCACAAGCTGGTTTGTTATGCTGAAGGGCGGCTATATTGGCTATACAGATCTGATACAGAAACTGGTTTGTTATGCTGAAGGGCAGTTATACTGGCTATCCAGATACAGATACAGAAGCTGGTGTGTTACGCAGAAGGGCAGTTATAACGGCTATAGAGATACAGAAGAAACACTCACACTTCTGCAAACACCTTGTCCAGCTCTGGTCGAGGGCAAACCTTCCTCACAATTGTGACAAAGTCCTCAAAGAAGAACTTTTCCACGTTGATAATGTCATTCTGGAAAAGAGAGGGAACATGGCTAAACAAAAAAGGATGTATATTAAGCACTTCTATCTGTACTACCATAGGACAGTCATGGATAAGCTTGACCCTATGGACAAGCTGGTTTGTTATGCTGAAGGGCGGCTATATTGGCTATACAGATCTGATACAGAAACTGGTGTGTTGTGCCAAAGGGCAGTTATACTGGCTACTGTGACAAAGTCCTCAAAGAAGAACTTTTCCACGTTGATAATGTCATTCTGGAAAAGAGAGGGAACATGGCTAAACAAAAAAGGATGTAAATTTCACTTCTATCTGTACTACCATAGGACAGACATAAAACACTGCACTTTGTTAATTAAGCTACTTTGACATAATCATTTAGAATTAGGGGGCTCTTCTAGCCGTCCAACTAGCCATGACAACCGCCTTTCCACGTCTTAAATGTTTTTTCCATCACCCTTGGTAGTTACAGTTAAAGTGCCTCCCCGCGTTTAGTGATGCATAGGGCGGCGCCCATCTCCATTTTCAATAGCCCTGGGCCACACAACAATCACTACAGCGGGGGGCTTTTCCGCTGGTAGTGGTGTGTGTTTAACTCCCATACTCTTTCCCAAATGCTGAGTGCTAAGCAGAGAAAGAAGTATGTACCATTTTTAAAGTCTTTGGTTTGACTCGGCCGGGGATCGAACTCACGACCTGCCCAATGCAAGGTGAGCACTCTTCCCACTTGGCCATTGCACCGGTCACAATCTAGTCCTTCGCAGATTAAGACTGTTGAGTGTCCTTATTCATGACACAAGCATTAAGCAACCTGTCCAAGAAGGCCCCTTTACCTCGGTCTCCTGGGTGGCCTTCTTGTGCAGGTTTGACTGTATTCCATGCATTATGTGGGGTCGTGTGGCGCAGCGGTAGCGCTTTCGGCTCAGGACCTAGAGGTCCTGGGTTCGATCCCCACCCACGTCACCGATCTTGCGCCCTTGGGAAAGGCACTTTACACGACTTACCTCACTTTACTCGGGTGAAAATGAGTACCTAGCCTCGGTTAGGGACGTCCCTCGGATAGGACGTTAAATGGAGGTCCCGTGTTTGGGAAGAGTCATACCCCGCGCACGTAAAAAAAACCACCACTCCTTTCGAAAAAGAGTAGGGGCATGCCCCGGTGTGCGATGGTACAAAACTAATACTGTCTGGGAGTTGGTGATTCACTACAAATCACCCGGATGGAGGCCTGGCGAACCCCATCGCGTACTAGCCACAAAAGGCAGCAGAATCTTCAGCTAGTTGAAGGAGGCTGCCTCAAATGAAAGAAGAAGATGTACTCACCTTCCCCGTGGGTAGAGCACAGGAAGCCAGGGCTCCCTCCACTCTCTTTCTCTCCTCTTTGGATGTAGAGAACAACTTGATCACACTGAAATTATAGATCCATATTGAACTTAGAGATACAAAACAAACAGCAAAAAGCGAACATTTCTCTATCGCACCATTAATCTATGGAACACCCTGCCACCCAGTATCAAAACACTGACCAGTCCACATCAATTCAAAAAGGCCATCCACCAGTTGTACATATATTATTAAGTTAAATTGTATATATTATGTTAAGTCATGATCATTTTGTTTAACCTGTGTATAATTTGTGATGATTATGTATGTTCATTCTCTTTTATTTTGTTGTCAGTATGTTCATTAAAAATATGTTTTGAACCCTGGAAGATTAGTCCTCATGGACTTAAGGGTATCGAAATAAACAAAGAAGAGATCTTGCTCTGCATTGTTCCTGGGCGGGATGCCCCATATGAGGTTTGGCCCAGTACAGAATAGATGTAGAATCTGATGTGTAAAAGCAAATAAATGACTATAACTTAGAGTCATTTTAATGCGTTAAGCATGTGCAGGATGAAAACTGTGAAGAAGTCTAGTGGCGTATGTTACGTAGATTCCCAATGTCATTTTTATATGATTGTGAAGTCTGTGACTCTGTTGTCTGTATTGTTTCGTCTTGTGTTGTCGGAATCCAGGAAGATTAGTCGCACAAAAATTTCTGCGACTAATGGATATCCTAATAAAGTATCAAGTATCAAGTATCTATTCATTTCTCAAGCTAACAGACATCTAGCATATGGCAGTCGTCCCTCAGTAAGACATCTGGAGCAGCATAGTTCCTGTTTAGAACTTATTCAGCCTGTCACAGTTCTAAACTGGAACTATGTGGCTCCAGATGTCTTTATAATACTGAGGGATGACTGCAGTGTGAAAGCTGTCGGCTAGCTTTAGGACTGAATCCACAGTATGGCAAATACATGGCTCATACCACAATTCAATTCATTTATTTATTTTAAATATTAATTACAGCTCAGGCCAATTTGGCCTGCTTTTCAGGTAATCCTGGATACACATAAAAATACACACAACAAATACACAGTACATAAACAATTACTAAATACAACATCTTAAAAAAACATCAACTGGATCAGGTCCTGCTCCTACTTGAAGACATATAGATAATAAAGTCCAGACAAGGTAATTGTCACATATACAATGCATCCAAAGCATGTTCTTATGAATTAATTAGTTTTCAGAAATACTTACTTTTTAACAGGCAGCTTTCCCTCCTTAGTTAGGTCTTTGACTATCAGCTTGGCATACCTGGGATGGTGTTGATTAAAAGGTAAACTAAGGCCACACCAATTTAATTTCTTGGTTAACGGATTTTTCTACAAAAATAATGGAGCGGGCGGGCGAAAAAAAAATAAAAATAAAAACATGCCTAGGCATCCTATTATGGCCCAAAATGGTACGATAGGAGCCATGAAGTCAACACACCAGGCTGGTTCAAAATTTAAACAATGAATTTTGAACTTTTAATGATACCATTGCATTGAAAGATGGAATAACTGTAACAACTAGGAAGAAAAGGACTGTTTTCAACTGTTCAGGGCAAAATGTGAGCATTTTTCAGTTAATTCTGAATTTTTATCTTAATTTCCAAATCAGAAAAAAATGAAGCGGGCGAATCCATTAACCAAGAAATTAAATTGGTGTGGCCTAAACTATTATTATTAAAAGGACACTTTATGGATGCATCACTTTTTCAACATACTCTAAATATTAATAGATTAAATAATGTAACAGTTGCTAGCATTCATGGGATACAAACTTTGTGGAAATGAGGTAGCATTACGACATGAAGTTATGAGAAGAATCATTAGCGTCCTCTCTTACTTTTTATATGCAGAAAGTCTGATAACAATACATCATTATTGAGAGAGCTCATCAATTAATTTTGATAGTACTAGACACAAAAACGTGATGTCTTTTGCTGTATAATTTGCTAAATCTACATGTTGTTCAGACTTGGCCACACTTATAGTTAGGCCATGTTGATTTGATTATATGGATGACATCCTCCGGGAGCCCCAAAACTGATGCGCGCGTGCGAATAAAAAAAACGTTTTGCAAAAAAAAAAAAGTTGTTTTCATTATGAAATCTACGTGGTCATGAGGGTTGAGCAAATGGCATAGAATATGGTTTGGCGAATAATCTCATTTCTTTACAATTTCGTCTTTTTTCGTTTGATTTTGGCATTCTACGACATAGGTATAGTTTTTATTAATTTTTTTTGGTAACTTATGGTATATTTTTGCTCATTTTGCAACTGTTTTGTACGATTTACAGTATGATTGAAAACTTTTTTTTTTTGGAAACGGCCGAAAATTCATGCGCGCGCGGATGTCATCCATATAATCAAATCAACATGGCCTTATACGATATACTCACACTTTCTTGAGGTTCTGCATGGGGGAGGCATTCAGAGCCAGGACGTTGGTGGCTATCTTCAGCAGGGAGTCTGTCCATAACTACAGACAGGTAGAAACAAAACACAAGGTGAATCTCAATTTATTAATCTATAAATTTATTTATTTATCTTAAGGCGGCTGGGTAACCCCATTCAGCCTACGCTGGCTGCTTTCTAAGGGGGCTCAGCTTGTTATAGGACAATGTTACTTACAGTAAAACAAAAGTACATTACATACAGTGAACATGCGTCCAATGCGTTGAAAACAAAATCATAATTCAATACTCAACATCCTTGCCGGTCCATGGTCAAAACACAAAAGTTCAGGAGTGGAGGTCAGAGATCAGAGCTCATAGGAGATTGCTATCAAATAATAGGATTGTTACTTACATCACAGGTGGAATACACTGAATGTAGGAGATTAAATTTAAAAATGCAGTACAGCACATATGAATGTAAGCTTTCAATGACATTTTTCATTATAACTCGCTGTCTTTTATCTGGTAGAAAAATGTAGCCTCAGAAGTCATGGTTATATTGGATGCACAACAGTCATTTGTTGTTTCTTCAATTTTTTTTTAAATCTCAGAACCATCTGCTGTTTCTATGTGTAGCCTTAGGAACATATTCTAAATACCAAGGGTTTTGCAGTAATCGTATCATTTTTGCCATTTGTGTTTACACAAACATTACTCAGTAATTAATGGTAAGGCCACACCAATTTAATTTGTTGGTTCTCGGATTCGCCTCTTCATTTTTTTCTGATTTGAAAAAAAAAAATGATTCTGGTTCTGAATCAACTAAAAAATGCTCATATTTTGCCCCCAACAGTTGAGGAAATTCCTTTTCTTCCTAGTTGTTACAGTTTTTTCCATCTATCAATGCAGTGGTTTAGATTAAAAAGTTCAAAATTTATAACTTCAAATTTTTAACCCAGCCTTTTTTGTTGACTTCATGGCTCATATTGTAGCATTTGGGGCTATAATAGGATGCCTAGATCTGTTTTTATTTTATTTTTTTTCGCCCTGTCGCTTCATATTTTTTCTGAAAAAATCCGAGAACCAACAAATTAAATTGGTGTAGCCTTAGGACAAAAAGTACATGTAAGTAATTTTGTCCTGATTGAAAGTTGATATTCTGGGTCATCTGAACACATGCTCCTCTGAGGATGATTATTACACGAATTTCAAATCTTCTGCAACATATTGGAAAACAACTGCCAACAACTTCACATCAACAAATACATGACTGTATTATAACCAATAGTCTTCAGGGCTAATGTTAGCAATGGACATATACATCTAGTAGTATCATCATGGCAAAACCTCTATAAGTCTTACAGTCGCAATGGACCTATACCATTATTACGTCACAGTTTGTTTACCTGTTCTAAAGAACATTCTAGAACGGTCAGTTAAAGAATAAAGATCATTTCAAAGTTTTCAAAGTCAGTTATGTCTGATTTTTACTGTGTCTAGTTTTGTTGACACAGCATTACATGCCGCACGGGTGATTTAGTTGTGACATTAGACGAAAGTAGTACTGTATTAAAAGCCTTATATTAGGCTAAGGCTACACAAACACACACCGTGCTACGCACCCCTGTACAATATAAAAGTCGATTGACCGGCATTCATTGCGGTAAACAAACTGTGATGTAATAATGGTATAGGTCCATTGAAGTGGATACCAGGTCTGTGAAACCTCTCACAGATTCCCTTTGATTGTCAATTATTGTGGATTACCAGTACTGTGCACTAATCACACATTTTCTTATCTTACAAGCGTGTGTTATAAATAGAGCACACAAGCATTCCTCCTCACTTTGAATTAACATCTGGTGCATGCGAAAGTACAGACTGAGAAGTGACATAATTTCAAAGTGCATTTACCGGTAGTAACTGTCACGCATGCCTGTACTTGAAACAGTGCAGAAATGTCTGGGGCATGCATCAGTGGCTCTCTTTGCATCATTCACTCTGCCTCCATGGCGCTTGTTCCAGGAAGAACACATCATGTGTTCTCTCATTCATGTCAGTTGGTCCACAATGAATGACTCCCCTGCTAATTCCAAAGTGGACCCTTGGCTAAGTGCAATCCTGTGTGGTTTATGTTTTTGTGCTATCTGACTATTGTTGACGCTTGTTGCATGCATGTAAGACATTTGTTTGATTAACCTGCCAATATTGTCCTCAAAGCACTCTACAAAAGTTACAACCTTTTAGATCAGTTATCAGACGGAAAATTGCAAACATTGAATTGTTGCTTCACAGTCTTGAAACAAGACACTGTGAAGCAACAATGCAATTTTTTTTCTGTCAACTGGTCTAGAGCATTGTTTTATCGTAGCACCAAATTGTATGTATTACCAAACAACATTCATCATTCAAAGACAATTCAAACTTTACTCCTGGAAAGATTAAGTCAAGTTCTTTCAGATGTTTCGACTGACATCCATCGCTCTTCTCCAGCATCACTTGAAACATATCCAGAAGTAATCTCCATACCTTATCCAGTTTAGTAGACATTGAATTGTCTTTAAATATTGTTAACCCGGATGTCTAAACTTCATCATTAAAACAACGTTCATCATCCATGAAGCAAATTACCGATAACTACTTTAAGCCAGTTTCCAACTGACCTTAGCAACCCCCTCAGAGTTACAGACAAAGATGACTTCAAAGTCAATGTGAGCAAACCTAACGACTTTCAGGACTCATTAAGAAAACTAACAACAACTCAACTTCAAGCCAGTTGCCAACTACCTTTTTTGGTCTGTATCACTTTTATTTACAAGAAAAGAACAAAGAAATATAAAGACACTAAATACATGTGGGTGTACAACCAAACCAAGCAAAAAACTAACTGACCTTAGCGACGCCCTAATGAGTCATGAAACAACTTTCATGACTCATTAAGAAAACTAACAATAACTATATAATATAAAATTTGAGTAAGTCCAATCCCTTGTGTTGTAAATTGCAGTTTAAACTACTTCTGTTTACAACTCTACACTTTAACTTTAAGCTCAGTGAGTTTTTGACTGACCTTAGCGACGCCCTCGGAGTTGGAGACAAAGTTGATGAAGCTGATATTGACCATGTCCGGCCCGTACACCACCGTGACTGTCTTGTTCTCCACAGGGATGTCCGGGGGGCCAAACTGCACCATCTCCTTTAGCTTGTCCTGCAAGAGAAATATAATGAGAAATCTATTGCAAATACATGCCTGAGGGCAAACGTGTTACTTTGAGTACCAACCGGATTTTGGCTCCCAACGCTCGGAAAAAAATGATTTGCGGACTGAGCCAAAATATGGATGATACCCAGGATACAAACATGTATGAAAAAAAGAAAATTCAATGATATAAGAAGCTATGTCTAACAGTATACTACATTCTACAACATATACGTGGTACTAGTTTTGCTGGGTTTGACTTCTTCTTTTGAGGCCTGCCTACCTGCCTATGTGCTTTTGAGGCAGTGGAAGACAAATTTACCCCCTTCTGCTATAATATGTGGGTTCTTTGATTTTAGTAGTAAAATTGTGTTCTTGTGGTAGAGAATAACGGGAAAGTAAGGGAGCATTTTGGATACAATAGTAAATAATTGGTTTCTGATATTGTCATAAAATGAACAATTAAAGACTGAAATATCTGATAATCCTTAACCTTCAGCCTGCTAAGGTAGCCTTCTGGCAACAAGTTTGTATTGGTACCATATCAGGCATCAGGGAGAAGGTTAAGGGTTACAGTCTGATGCAGATGGGACGATGATGTCTGTTTTAAGTTTTACTTTGCATATTGCATCAGAACTGACATTTTTTACTTACCTAGTTCAAACTTTTGTGTTTTAGTAGCCATAAATTGTATATAATTTTTGTATATCAGACTACATTTTGTGTTGTATCTTCTGCTGACAATAAAAATCATTTGATGAATGCATAAAAGTTGGCATACTTTAAAATCATTCAGGACAAGTTGATAGGTGAATTGTGAATGTGTAATTTCTTGATGGGATACCAAAAGTTTTTTGTCATGTTTTGCATAATTGTAGAACACACTGGGAAGTATAAAGATGCACTATTAGACTAAACACAGTCCATTATGACATGCTTTGTTGTCTCCACAGTTAGCATTGACAGAAATATAATTACTAGATGCTGGCATTAACAATAACACTTTCTTTGGCATAAGCCAGGCATTCATATGAATAACATAGATTAGTAGATTCTGAAGGTATTTTGGACAAAGCATTAAATAATATTCTGTGGCTTTGTGCACAAGTTTTATGGTCATGATTTGTTTGTTGAACATGCTTTTGAATAGTGTCTAAACATATTTCTGGCAAATACTTTCAGAGGTTTCAAAATAAAGGAAATGCATATAAATGCCTCCATTTCCTATACACAGACAAAAGCAAACATTGAAGAGTTATAACTCATGCTGGTAACACAATGCAATTCATCCTAAACTACCAAGACTGAGAGTTTCTATACTATCCGAGGGTGTATCCTTATTAATTGTGTAATATTAAGTTGTCTGGTCACCAAGGTGGCCCATGCACTGTTGACAGCGTATATATATACTACTCTCATCTAGATCATTCACTAAACTCGCTGAAGCAAAAATGCATCCGCATCTTGTCATCCTTGTTATTTGATACATGCTGGACATGCAGGCTACAGTACTCTTGCATTGTTACATTGTATACTCTTGCATTGCTACATCAGGTACTCTTGCATTGCTACATCGTGTTCTACATACTGCTTGCTAGAAGCCAGTCAGAGATGTAGCGAGGTGAGACATACTCACTTTGGGCAGATTTGCCAGGTACTTATGCATGCAAAAAAACATACAGCGTTAGTAGTTATCCTTGGAACTGTGTAGGCCTATATTGCAAGCATGACTCTTATGTAACAACTTTGTTGTAAAACAACTATCATTCCATGGTTGGACAAATAGTGGTTGAACATGCAGGTGAGATTTGTGGCTGGACAAAGCAACTACAGATATGCACATAGGGACCAGAGTGGGTACAAAATGTACATGAACGCAGGAACAAGTTTTGAAGGAAACAAATATTATACAACCAACATTTGCTTCCTTAATGTACATGGGAGATAATTCACGTACATGGGAGGACAATGACCTTATAATGTTTGGAACATTGAATTTTGAACCTTTACTTTTTATCTGTTTTATGCATGAGTTAAGAACAAATAGTTTTTACAATGATCAATCAATATAAATACCAAACCAAAAATCAGCCAAACCAAACAGATATACTGGTTAGTTCCAACATCACGAAGCATGTATATGTGTGAGTGAGTGTACAGAGCATCACAGAAACATCACACACAAGTGGGCACAACTCCATACATACATGATACAGAGAAGGTGTGGCAGTCTTGGGGCCATAGTGTGCATCTTGTGGTGCAATCGTTGTGTTCTCTTTGAGAATCACAGGGCATTTTACAACTGTTACAGTAGGATGGTTGAAAACAAGACAGACATAGGAGCAGGAAGGCAAGCACAGAAGTAGGGCAAGACATGATACTGAATTTAAAAGGCTTAGACCATGCCATCAAAGAACATTGGAACAGTGGTATTATTTATAATGATGTTTGCTACCATGCAAGAAACTGTGGCGAGGAAAATCTCTGTCAGGTTCTTCTCGCATTGCCAGTAGAATCTACTAGTACTTGTTGCCCCCAAAGACACATGCAGTGTAAGTACATGTTAAGTACCAGCTGTGGTAAGGTTTGGATCATTCTGCATCAAGTTAGAGGTACCAGAATGTTGTGTATTAAAACATTGTTGAAGATGTCAAAGAGCACCGCAGGATTTTGTGCTAAACATGCATGTGTTATCATCATCATCAGAGGACATCAAAAGTCACCTCAAGAAGCAGCATGGGTTATATAATAATAAATATAGCAAGGAGACTAGCCTTAAGCTTGCTAGACCTGGCTCGCAGTAAGTAAAGGAGGTGCAGCAGTCAAAGAAAGAAAGGAAGAGAGAGAGAGACAGACATACAACGTAGGGAGACGCTATGGAAAAG